AGAGGTGTAAACTAAGAAAAGCAAAGCAGAAATAATACTTTTCAACTTCAGTACAAAGAAAAAATATGTTATTTTTTAAAATAAAAAATATGGAATAATCTGAGATATTTAATGAGACACAAAGCAACAGTTGCATAAATTACATGCCACTTTGAAGACTAATACTGTTCCCTTGATGTTAAGACAATAGAGGCTCCCATTGTTTTCACTTCACAGTGTCCTTAGTGTAATAGTATTTTTATAGCATCCCTAATTTCTAATTACACAAGGTTCTATAGATATTAAATATCACTGTGTTATTTCAGAACACCTCTAAGTGTTGGCTACAGTATTCAGCATTGGCTGTGTAGCCCTACAATAGTCAGCACAATCAGCAGTAGTAGTCTTTCCTTCTACTTATGGTAAGGATTTTTCAGATCTCCAATAATTTTTGTTTACTTTTGTCCCAATCTTTTCCAACTCTGCCAAATTGTATTCTTCTTATGATGCAAAGACCAGAACTATGTACAATACTCTTAAGTATGATCTCACCATATTTTGCAAATCTACTACATATTTAGGATAATGATAAAGATAGTAACGACAACACTTGAACATCATTGGGATTGACAAAATTGTCATCAGCCAATTGCAAAAGCAATTGAACAGTTTACATCCTGCAACAATTCTTTTAAGACCACCAAACAACATCTGCCTATCCCATAAAAAACAAGAGTTTCAAGATTGATATTTTCATCAGACGGTTAACTGTGATTCCCAGTCCCCTTCATTAGCATTTATTACCAGTCATATTCCATTAATGGGTTAAAAAATGGATTATTTGGGTGTCTACCAACATAGTATTGCTTTATTTATACTGGCTGCATTTGCCATTTAAGTTTGGATATATCTTTTTACAGCTCTGCACAATTGTTTTTTTTTATTTTACCACCTTGAATAGATTGGTTTTATTAGCACACATGGACACCTCACAGTCCAACATGTCCAGATCAGCTAAAAATTGAAAATTGCCACTTATGTGCTTTTATGTGCTTTTGCCCAGTATGAGAACCGATCTTTAATCCAACAATTTGCCATTTTTAACAGATGCAATCTGGATAAATACTTATTCCATGGCAGCTCAGGTCAAAAGTCTTTGAAGAATTTTGATAACAACTTTTTTAAACCCACGTGAGTAATATTAACTGGACAAATCTCAACTCCCTTAATCTTTATACCCTTCTAAATGTTTGAAAACGTAGTGAGAAGACTCCTTGCAGAAGCCAGGCTTTTTAGCAAATCTTATTCTTCTGCATATTCGCTTATTTCCTCTTTAATATTCCTTTCAGTTATTTTCCTTGAAACAGATGTTATGCTAATGGGATTATTTTCTTTACTGATCCTCAAAGACATACGAATTGGGTCACAACGGCTATTTATAAGCTCTGAGAATGGAGGCTAATGTTAAATAAAAGTTTTATATATTTTAAAAAAGAACTGCAATTTCATTATTAGGTTCTTGAAGAATTTCTGGATTTTATCTGGACCTGCATACTTATTTTTTTATTTGTCCATTTAGTTTATGACTTTCTTTCTCATTGTTTTCATATGTCTGAAAAGTCAGCTTTGGTTCAGAAATCTGTTTCTGGGAGGCTTCTTTGCCAGCCAGCCACTTCCAGCTGCGGCAGATGGCTGGGGGCCGCCACAAACTCCAATCAGCTTGCCTTCCAGAATCTGGACCAGCCACCACTGGTAAGCAACCAAAGAAGTGATGGTGGGAGAGGGGCTCCAGGGCAAGGCCAGAGCCGGGGAATGTCGTATTCCTGACCTGGCCCAGGTGGGTGGCAAGAGTGCAGCGGCTGCAGGGCAAGGCCAGAGCTGGGGAATGTCGCATTCCCTGACTTGGCTGAGGCGCACAGAGGTTCTGTGGCCTCAAGGAATGACATGTCCCTGGGGCCAGGCCCCTGACACAGGGTGAGTGGGCAGCATGCTTACGTTTGGTGAGCTGAGCAGGTGAGGCGAGGAGGTGACTGGCAAGGCACGTAGCTGGGGGCTGGGCTGCTTGTTGATGGTATATGTAGGGCTCAGATGGGTGGGGGGAGGGTTGAGCGAGCAAGTGAGCATTGGACGGGCAGGGCGAGCGAGTGCTGGGTGGGCGGGGTAAGCGAGCGGCAACTGGGCAGGTGGGGCGGGCAGACAGGGCGAGCGAGTGGCGACCAGGCAGGTGGGATGAGTGACAACAGAGGGACCGGTTTGGGGGCATGGCCAGCCAGACATCACTACCGGTTCTCCGACCTCTGGGAAATTGCTGCCACTGGTTCACAAACTGGCTGAATACCACCTCTGGCTGCGATGTGTCTGCATCTATGAAGATCAGAACTGTGGAGGAATTGGTTTTCTTTATGACTCTCTATGAAAGTTAATATTAAAGAAGCAGGGCATAAAAAGTGTTAATGTTTTTGAATATTGATGTAAAAGAATATCATGGATAATCAATAAAACATATTAATGGCTAGGTGAACAAATATAGTACTAACTCAAGGCACAAATACTTGGGTTGAAATTATAAAATTTTAGACACATTATGCAAAGATCTAATTTTTTTCTGAAGGCTATAATGCTAAAAAGACAGAAGGAAAGAGGGGTAGAAAGGATAACCTACAGCAAGGTGAATGGTCTTCATTACAGAAATGATTGGCACACATTTAGAAGACATGACAGGCGAGGTTAGGGCCTGATCATCCTAGAAAAAGTATCTTTGTAGTTGCTAAGATTCAACATCAACTTGATGGCACATAATCAATCAAAAGTAGTTATTCCTCAGTTTATGATTTTAGTCTACATATCCCCATGCTTGAAAGTTAATTCTGTACACTCTTCCCCCCAACCCACCTACACACACATATACATATATATGCATTTTTTCTTCAGTCCTTTCTCAAGGAGCTTATAGTTACAAACATGGACTAAGCAGAGATTATGGTACATCCCCATGCAGGAGCTAAATACACAAAATTAAATTATCAATTTTATGGAATGTTGGTGTCAGTTCCAAATAACCATAATAAATAACAATTTGCTAGATTAAATATCCTATTACCACATGTGTTGGAATATAGATTTGAAAGGATTACTATCCTACAAAGATTTAATTCTTTCAATGTCAAAATTGGATTAATGGATCTCAATTCTAATAATCTGTAATTTTTATGTAATAGTTCACAAGGATTTAATCTGGTTTATTTTTAAAATGTATCAAACAGATTTAATTTCAAATATACATTTTTGCCATCTGATACAGATACAAAGGTGGTTCTTGTGCTGATTAAACTTTGAGTGGTAGCTTCTAAAAACAGCTAATGAATTAAATAGGAATAATTGAATTATTCTGGATACACAGTTAATAGTTAACCAATGCTGAGTGTTTTTCTTAATGTAACATAACCAGTCTAGTGTAATAGGTTATGCAATATCTATATTCCATTTCATGTTTACTTCAACTGTAACAGATTTATAGTATAATAAAAAATAGACTCCATCTAATTTTCCACATTCGCTCCAAGCTTATTCATGCAAACACCTACCTCATGAACTCTATGAGTAGATTAGATTCTAAGGATGAAGTATAACATTCTGGCAGTGTATCATTCCTCATCCTGTTGAATGTGATATTTTTTACTAAATTAATCATTTTTGTCTTCCATCTGAAAGACATCAGATAACTTATCCAAATACTACTTTATGTTCCTCCTTACTTTGACAGTACAATGGGAATGAATTAGTAATAAGAAAAGCAGCCTCAGTTTACCAAATACAAGCAGATAACGGAGCCTATGCTAACACCCTTTAGAACAGTGGATCTCAACCTTCCCAATGCCCTGACCCTTTAATACAGTTCCTCATGTTGTGGTGACCCCGAACCATAAAATTGGTGTCTCGGTTCCTAAGACCATTGAAAATGTGTGTTTTCTAATGGTCTTAGGTGACCCCTATGAAAGGGTCGAACTTTCTTATGCTGTGTTTCAAAAAGCTGTAATGTACAACAGTTTTCCCCAATCTTGGGAAACCTTAATGTATATGGATATCAACTTCATAAATCCCAGCAGTGGACAGGTTAGCAGGGGAATTCTGGGAGTAAAATGCTCAGCTCTGATGTAGAACAATAAGGACTATTCCAAATTAAAAGACTTCAAGTCAAGCCAATGATCTTCCTCAGGCAAATGCTTTTATGTTCTTTGAATAAACTATTTTCCAAATAGTCCAACATAATCTATCAAAATTGGCTATTTTAACAAACCATCGGCTTCCAATCACTGGTTTCAATCAGTTTTTAGTAGTCAAGCTACTGTCATCAATATATTTAGATCACCTAATGCATTATCTAGCAGTCAGATATATGAAAAGCTATTTTAAAGCTACCAGATCCACCAAGAGCTCCAGCTGATCTATTTTAACAATTATACAAATGCCTACAAACATTTAGAAGAGCAGCTCTGGTTTAGCTCAATTTTTTTCAAATCATTTCTCATAGAAATGCTAAAATATCAGCCGAGAATGGACTGCAGATAAGCCACATAATCACATAAACCTTTCTGCATAGCGTCCACCCCATTTCCCTACACAGAGCAAAGTTACACTGGAAACAGTCTCCTTAAAAAAAAAAAAGATCACAAAATGCAAACGACGTCATATTTATTTTGTACGGTATATAGGTAAACATAAACTTAAGGAGCACATGCAGTAATTGGTAGTTTCTGACATGAATGTGTTATTTGTGTAAAATGAATGAATTGTCAATACATTACTGATGGTACATCATATACCAGTGATGGCTAACCTTTTCGGCGCCATGCCAAAAGCATGTGTGTGCACACCCATAATGCATTGCACCTGCAACAACCCCCATGTGCCCCACCCCCACTCTCACACACACATCTCCTGTGCATGTACCCTGCCCCCCATGCATGCGTGCGCACCCCCCGCATGCGCCCTGCCCCATGCATGCATGGCAGAGACCTGAAAACAGCTGGCCAGTGGGAGGCACACAACATGGGCAATGGCTTGCGTGTCTGCAAAGAGGGCTCTGCGGGCCACCTGTGGCACACGTACCATAGGTTTGCCATCACGGTCATATACATTTAGACTTCTGGAATCCAAAATATGCCTATGTGAACATGAAGTTAGTTCTATCTATTAAACACACTTAAAGGAAACAGGAGACATTGGAAATGAATTGTGAGGTGAGATCCAGACATACCAGGTAATATTCGGCCAATGAGTGCATCTAATAACCAAAACGATTCCTCCTCATTCCTTGTAATAAGAATCAAGTATCCAGCTATGAAATTCATGCCCTGAAATAAATATGGATTTCCTATTTATTTCATGTCAAAAGAGGGAGTCAACAGAATGAAATAAAGTGAAAAAAGCAAAACATTTTTCATTTCCATGTTTAATGTCACACTTAAAAATCTTTCATTAGTTAAGCAGTACAGGAATTATTTCTACTTTCTTCTGCTCACATATCCAACAGAAGCACTTGGGGGAGGTGGGTGGAGGTTGCAAGGCTTTGATGGAAAATAGTTATGAGGTGGTTAATCTGACATAACTCATCCATTTGGGATCTGGGACAATTTAAAAAATGGCTCTGCTGTCAGTATAAAATTTGTCTTTGCCCTATTACAAGCTTATAGACTGGTGACTATGCCAATAGAGTGTTTCTATATACTTATGCATTTTTGCAAATCAAAAATTACTTTGCAACAAAGTTGAGTAATGCTGCAACTTTTTAAAGTGTTAAATGTGTGAGCTGTACGTTTTAAAATATTCAGGAAGAGAAGCACTGCTTGCATTCATTTAGATTTAATATTTAATGCATCTCAGGTTTCTCGTTGTCTTTTTAATCCTCCTAGCTTTTATTTCACTAATTGTTCTTGATCTTTCCAGTCAATTCTAAAACAGAAAGATTATATTTTTCAAAATTTAATTTTCTAATTAAAATGCCAGCTTAGATTCAAACAAGACAAAAAATAATCAAAGTGTCAATATTATTTTATAGAACATTTCATGTCATTCAAACAGAATCAGCTCCTAAGTTTCCAAGTTTCTTAATAATCATCTGTTGACATGACTGGCTTTCTTCAAACAGTGCCTCCCATCCCCCCATCTTCTCTTTCTAATCTATGAAAAGCCAACAGTCAGTATAAAAAGTTTTCCATGTGGTTGGGATATTTTGCCCTCCAGTTGTGCTGCTAGTTTGCTTGACAATAGCAACCATGGTGACTATTTGGCATTTGGTTGGAGGAACTACAAAGGTTTACCCCCTCAGAGGGTTTTTGAAGAGCAAGTGCATTTATTAACCATGCACGCCAGCACAAACCTCTATTAGTACTGTGGCAGCAAACAGCAAAGCAAGCTTGTCCAATTCTTTTAAAGGAATGCTCAGTGCAAGATTCCCTGAAATAGGTTAGCTGTCTGTCACATTAACATTTCTGTACTGGGAACTAATTAAAAATTCCTTAAACATAATCTTAAATTACACAGAATCACATACATTCTATTGCTTCTGAAAGGTCTATGTACTTGGAACAATCGGCTGCCTACAAAGTTCAACATATTTTATGCAGTTGAAAAAGCTTCAAATTCTCTAAAACATATAATTGTCAGAATTATTCTGACTGATGCATTGATTTGCCAAATATTTTGGAAAATAGTGGATCTATTTTGAAGAATATAGTAACAGCATGTTCCAAAGCTAAAGTCACCATCTACTGAAATTATATGATGGTAAATTTGTGGTGGTTGTTTTAGGGCAGGGATAGTAGCTTTCTGTTAACAAGCTTAATTTGGAGTACCAGACCAGCTCACCTGAACAGTATGGCTTCAAGACAAATCCTTTCCTCTTATGAACACTCTTTTTTTCATATTTTCTACCTTTTCTTTGAGGAAAGTGCAAAGCAATCAAGAACTGTCATTCATTCATGCAAATACCATTTAAACATGGGTGGGCTGCTGGAGATTCGCAGGGGTTCAGGAGAATCTCTAGCTAAGATTCTGTGCCGTTCAGAGAACCCCCAAACCCCACTCCTGGCTGGCCCCGTCCACCTCTCCCCGCCCCGGAATCTCCATGCAGCCTGTTTTGGATGCAGGTAAGTGCAGGGTGTATGTGGAGGATTGGGTCGGGTGAAAAATGGGCCTGCCGGAAACGGGCTCGTTTCCGGCCTCCAGGGCCTCCGGAGCCTGGAGATGCTGTTTTCACCCTACCGGAGGTTTGAGAAAAGCCTCTGAAGCCCAGGGAGAGAAACAACCACCACCACCCCATGATGCAGGAGGCTGACTAGGCCATGCCCACCAGAGAACCTCTTGCTAAATTTTTTGAAGCCCACCCCTGCATTTAAAATACCTGTCAGCACTTTCTTAATGGGAGAACATACAGGCTAACTAAGTTACTTGCTGCAGAGAATTAACTTCCTACTGCATCCTAAACAGAAAAAAATGTTTCATGCCCAGAATGTTGGTTCTCTACCTCAATTGGTTTTGTCAAGTCTCTGCAGAAGAGAACACAGATTGCCTCTCATATCCCTCTTCAGGGAAAATGTATGTTAATAGTAGGGCATTTGGAAAAGATTATTCCATTAAGCTTCACCAAGGAGAGAGGAATGGCTCACCTGGGCATGTGGAGAACTTAGATCTATCTTTTGCTTTACTGCTTTCTGTCAGATGAAGTGATATTCCAACTGACGATGCTGGCTAGGAATTCTGGTTATCATAGCCCCAACTTACATGACTTTGCTAAAGGGACGACAATTGGTAAAGTCTGCTCTAAAACTATTTTTAGCCAGGTTCTGTTCTACTGTATCAAAAAGAAAGCAACTCTACTGGACTGGTCCAAGGAACTTATGTATATAAAGTCATATTAGTCATGTGACTAGTCCTATTCAACCAACTTACAATCATCAAATGGTACAGCACAGGACTCCCATGCTCCGCCTGAATAATATTTATAAGCTCTTAAATTCCTTTTGATTGATTAACCCCAATGGAAGAGTCCTGTTTGTGGAATCTGAATTTTTAGAGAAGAAATAGGGATTTACTTGCTACACCAAAATGATGGTTATTAATCTAAGATGCTGTTCAAAAGCTGAGAACCCAAAACACCATTCTTTCATTTATATTCTGTATTTATTGTTTTCACAAATAAATCAAGGTGGCAAATATCCAACACACCTTCCTTTTCCTATTGAAATGTAAGTAGCATTCAAGACACCACAGGGGTAAATTAATGACATGTTTGCTATTATTTTCTATCTCAAAATAACATATTTTTAGTATTACATACCTGGCAATATCCCACAAATGGATTATGGTGCCCATATGCTACTAATACATTGTAGAGTGTTTTCTGTAAACAGGGAACAGCAGATTTGCGGAACTTTATATTATCTGGAAATGTCCTATTGATATCTATGAAAAAGGAAACATGTTACAAATTAATCCATGGAACAAAGTTGTATGCTCTCTTCACTTCTCTTCTCTCTATATACCAATGACTGCATCTCAAACGATCCATCTGTTAAACTACTGAAGTTTGCAGATGATACAACAGTGATTGGTCTCATTCAAGACAATGATGAAACCACATACAGAAGGGAGGTTGAACAATTAGCCTTGTGGTGCGACCAGAACAATCTGGAACTGAACACACTCAAAACCGTAGAAACGGTGGTAGACTTTAGGAGAAACCCTATCATACAACCACCTCTTACAATACTAGAGAACACAGTATCAACAGTAGCGACCTTCAAATTTCTAGGTTCTATCATATCTCAAGACGTAAAATGGACACCTGACATCAAAAACATCATAAAAAAGCACAACAAAGAATG